AGTCATGCAGTGGTTAAAAAAATGTGTATATGTGATAAACTATGTAAATGTGCACATTTCGCCAATGTCAATATGCTGCTTGTGATATTGTACTGTATTAATGGAAAATGTCACCATTGGGGAAAATTAGGTAAGTGGCATGTGTAAACAGTACTGTATTTGTAGCATTTTGGGAATCTTTATTTTAACATAATATGTAAGCACCTAGAAAAATGGTTTTGATATAGGAGAGTAACAGCTTATACGGAAGAATAAGAAAAATGATAAGTAATGTGAATACTTACCAATGGATGGATGGAGCAGAAACATAAAGGACAGGGAAAATTATCTGGCATAATTCCTAAATTGCAATATTTGGATAGAACTAAACAATTTTAATATATCTGGAAAATAAGCTGAAAATAGAAATGGACCCACAAATATTATTGAAGACTTCACCTCTTTTTTCTTATTATTTGTTAAAACGAAATGTTAGAGTTAATTCTTCAAGTTGAAAGAAAAAGCTCATGCATAATACAAAATCAGGAATTTATAAAACTCACTGGTAAAAGGTAAGTAAAAATTCAAATTCAAAATACTGATGTACTTTAATGGTGGCATACAAATAACGTATATCTTTGTTGTTAAGGTTAATACACAAAACTTTTTCAATTAGGTGGCTGTTGCTGTGTTGCCCAGGCTGGTGTCAAACATCTGGGTTCAAGCAATTTTCCCTCCTCAGCCTTCTGATTTGATGGTATTATTGGCAACTGCCATCGTGTCCATCTATAAACTATTAATAACTACAACAATTAATTTTGGCATATATGATTATAAATATATGTAAGGTGTGAAATCAAGAATAGAATGCTTCACCAAAATTTCAGAGTAAAACCACTCTGGTTTTACGCAGCCCCATAGAACATCAGTAATATATTCAGCACCCATATTACCACAAGTAATATCCCAGAACTGAAATCTGAAGCTGAGACATTTCCTGAGACTACGGAGAAGTGAAAAACGTGGACCAGATGGTAAAGGATTTGTTCTGTATTTTTGACACTCTTATCTGCCTGCCATTGTGTGTGGAAAAATTTCTCCACATTCATCAATTCAACATGGGATAAATGTGAGATTTTCACAGACAGCTTCTTCACCATCTTGGCTTCTCTGGTTGAAAAACTGTTAATAGCTTAACACATGGGAAGTATTGTTTGTGCTTGTAGGGAGAAAATCCATGATGGCAGTGAAAGACAATTGGGCCAGTTGAGATTCACAACTCCAGCCTGAAAAATAATTGACTTTACATCAGACAACGTAGATTCCAAGTCAGAGTGGCTGTTCAGCAGTACTATAATACAGTAGGTAGAGTTCATAGTTCTTTGCACAAATGCCTATTCAACCTTCCTGTACAGCCAGAGGATTGATTTTGGTACCCCTATGTGGTATGGGCAATGCTCAAAATGTTTGTGAGAGCTGAGTCAAATCTAAAATAGGCAACACTTACAGATTAAGTAGTCTCAAAAACTGCAAGTAATATCTAAGAAAATGCACTCTAGGAAGACCAAAAGAAACTAGACCCCTGAGACTGGAATAAGTACATAATTATTCAGTGTGAAACTATAGGCATATGTCTACAAGAAACAGCAGCAAGCCATGAACCATGACCACCATGAACGGAGAAAACATGGAGCCAGTTGCCAACCATAATGACGTGGTAATGTTTGAGCTCAAAAATCAAGAATCCATAAATGCAATTTTAAGGAAATGTAGTGGAACCCAATATAATGAAAAAATTCCAAGAATTTATTAGAAACTTGATGAAGTGATTGAAATAATAAAATACATCAAATAAGTATTGCAAATGAGAAGTAATTGTTTGAATTGAAAAATTCATTAGAGGCTGTCTAGCAGAATGGATCAAGAATAGAAAAACAGTGATCTTAAAGATAGGGTATTGGAGAATCTGTAGAGATTAAAGAAATGGAATGAAAAGGTATAGAGAATATCTACAGGATATAGAGAATAACGTCCAAACAGCAAATTAAGTCATCATTGGTGTTCAAGTAGTAGTTTTGTTATAGCAAGGGCAGGAAAGCTTATTCAATGAAATAACAGAATACATTCCAAATGCAGTGAAAGGTACAAATATTCAGGTACAACAATGTTGAAGACCAAATAGATTCAGTTTAAATATGAATACCCCAAGGCTTATATGTAATCTCAAAAACATACTACAAAGAGAAGGGACACTGAAAACAGCAAGAGAAAAACAAATAACATATACTTCCAATTTGTTAACAGACTTCTGATCAGAAATTGTATATATCGGGGCAGGGAGGGAGGGTAAAATGACATAAAATACTAAAGGAAAAAACTTAACCAACAATACTGTATCCACACAAGATTTCCTTGGAAGATTAAGAGATAACATCATTTACAGAAAGGTGAGAATTCATTAGACTCATCATTGAAGAAATGCAAAGTTCTTTATCATGAAGAAAATTATGCTAATGTCCAAAGAGAAAAAGTTTGATGTTACAAAACTCAGTGGCCAATGCAAATACATAGGCAAATTCAGAAGAAATTAATACTTGTAAGAATATGTAAGATTCTCATATCCATAATACAAGTAAGGTGCAAGTTTATGAAAAGTATAGCAGCATCACAAAATATAGCCAATATAAAAATAGACATGAGAAAGTCAAAATGTGGGGGGATTGAGTTAAAGTATAAAATTGATTGACTGTTTATATTCCTTATGATGAAAATCATCATCTGTTTCAAAATACTTTTTATGAGATACTACCAAAGAAAATCACTTAACCACAGTGGGAGAAGGAAGGAAGAAATAATTGATAAAATGACAAAAAATACCAAACAAAACGTCAATAGTGATTTCTTACCTATCAATAATATTTTCCTAGGACCCCCACCCTCAAAAGAAATAAAAGAGAGTGGCTTAATGGATATTTTAAAAAATCAAGACCCAAATATGCTGCATGTAAAAAAAATTAACTTACATAGATACACATTGACTAAAAGTGAAGAGATGCAAGAAGGTGTTTGATAGAAATGGAAACCAATAAATAGCAACAGTAGCTGTACTTAGATAACAAAGTTTCCACTTAATACTTATTAAGTGAAAAAGACAAAAAAGTTACTACATAATACTTGTGAAGGATCAGTTCACGAAGACGTTATAAAAATTGTAAATATGTATACACCCTGCAGCAGAACATCAAAATATATAAAGCAAAGTGTAAGCAACCTAATGTGAGAGAAACTGCAATACAATAATAGTAGGGAATTTTGGTAACCCTTCCTCAAATCTTGGCAACTGAGTGCACAAAGGCTTATTGCAATTGGGGGAACAAAATATAAGACAGTGAGGGTATTTGCATAGTAATCCAGGAAGTTGTACCCTTGTATTCCTCAAGTCCACCAGTTCTGTGTGTGTGGGATTCTTCAAGTGTGTCTGTGTTCCTGGTCCTAGGGTGCCCTCTAGTGATGAAATGACTGCAATGATTACATTATTAGATGAAACAACACAATCACATTTAATTTTTTAAACACCCTGTGCAGAAGAGCAGCTGCAAAGTAGTACAGACTGCAAAGATTGGAATAAATACCTAACTCGTGTGTGTGTGTGTGTGTGTCTGTGTGTGCGCGTGCGCACGCGCGTGTCTCCAGAGTTTTATTATTATTGAAATCAGTCTCTCCAAGCATTTGGGAAGCAGATTTTTTAAGGGTAGCCTGATGTGTGGGCGGAAGTCAGTGAGCCATGAGTGCTGATTGGTCAGAGATGAAATCATAGGGAGTCAGAGCTGTCTTGTGTTCAGTCCGTTTCTGGACGGGGGAGGGGGGGAGATCGGATGAGCCAGTTTATTGATCTGGGTGGTGGCAGCTGATCCATCAAGTGCACGGTCACAGGTCAGGAACCTTGTACAGGGACTCTGTGGGGACAAGGTATGAAGCCAAATTCCCCAACAGGCTTTAATTGGCTGTACAAATCAACTTGGATTTCTTAAAGGAAGCATGCCATTCCAGTCAAAGCCTTGATGAATTAACCAATTTCTCCTATTGTGTCCCTTTTTGCTGGCATACCAGGTTTCTGGGTTCCCTTTCTCTGCAGCTTCCAGAATAACAGAGCGGCTTCTGATTACCCTGCTTGCTTGTGCTTTACCTGTAGGATTCAAGCCACTTTACAAGAGAAAATTACCACTTACTGTTTTGTGGAATCACAGGCAAGATTCTATAAATACCTAACTCTTAAATGCCTGGACACTGAAGAACTTCCTCAAGCACACCATCCAGGAGACATGATGTCTTTAAAAGGACTATTGGATCTAGTTTTGGAGGGATGTTGCTAAGTTGCCTCTCATACAGGAAATTCAAAATTACTATGAACCATGACTTCCTCAGATATACAGAACAAGTAGCCACTGACTGACCCTAATGAGATGGTGATGTGTGTGATGTCAGGGTAATAATTCAGGAGAAACATTTTGGGATAATACCAAATACCATCATATTGCAGGAAAGCAATTTAGGAATTTATTAAAGCAATTTAACAAATACTGAAATAATAGATGAAACAAACTGAAATAGTGGAACTGAGAAACCATGACTGAATGGAGAAATGCACCATAAGGTCTCAATAGCAGAAATGATCAAGCAAAAGAAGAATCAGTATTGTTAAAGACAGGCTATATGAAAATGCACAATGAGAAAAACAAAAAAGAATGAAGCATGCCTACAAGGTGAAGAAAATAATCTTGAAATGTCAGGCTTACCATTCTTACAGAGAGAGAGTTTGGAGGTGAAAGTTTAGAGAAATAGGCTGGGCATGGTGGCTCACACTTATAATCCCAGCACTTTAGGAGACTGAGGTGGGTAGGTCACCTGAGGTTGGGAGTTCGAGACCAGTCTGGCCAACATAGTGAAACCCCATCTCTTACTAAAAGTACAAAAATTATCTGGGCATGGTGGCTTATGCCTGTAGTCCCAGCTATTTGGGAGACTGAGGCACGAGAATTGCTTGAAGCTGGGAGGTAGAAGTTACGGTGAGCTGAAATATATATGTGTATATCTAGATGTGATTACCCAGGTACAAGACAGTACAAATAAAACAGAAACAAGTAGATTCAACTAAAATAAGACTATGTCAAAGAATGTAACAATCAAATGTTCAGAGGTAGAGGAAAATTTAAACAGCCCTAAAAACTGCAACAAAACAAAAAAATTATAAAGGAGCTCTGATACATCTGGTAGTGAAGAGTTTAAAATCTAGGAGTATGATGGCATATTTATTGTTGAAGGAAATAACCTGCCAAATTAGAATATCAAATCCAGCAAAATATTCTTCAAACTTGAAAAAATGCTTTGCTAGGCACACAACAGGTGAGGAATTTTTGTCAACATCAGACCTGTCTTAACATGAAATGCTGAAAAGTGTAATTTGGCCGGGCGCGGTGGCTCAAGCCTGTAATCCCAGCACTTTGGGAGGCCGAGGCGGGTGGATCACGAGGTCAAGAGATCGAGACCATCCTGGTCAACATGGTGAAACCCCGTCTCTACTAAAAATACAAAAAATTAGCTGGGCATGGTGGCACTTGCCTGTAGTCCCAGCTGCTTGGGAGGCTGAGGCAGGAGAATTGCCTGAACCCGGGAGGCGGAGGTTGCGGTGAGCCGAGATCGCGCCATTGCACTCCAGCCTGGGTAACAAGAGTGAAACTCTGTCTCAAAAAAAAAAAAAAAAAAAATGAAAAGTGTAATTCAATCTGAAAAGGACATTAATGAGCAAAAGGAAAACGTCTGAATGTTTACAACTCATAGAAAAAGGTACACAGACAAATATAGAATCCTTTAATGGTGTAAGAAAGAAGAGGAAGAAATAGTCACTCATATTAGAAAGGGAGAATTATAAATAACCCAATAGATACAAATAAAATTAAATATATGGGAAGAAACTTAACCAATAAAGTAAAATGTATGTACAAGGAAAACTATGAGTCATTGATAGAAAATGAATAGGACACTAGTAAATCAAAATATACTGCATGTTCATTTAGTAGGAGAAGATGTATTGTTAAAAGCCCATACTATGTATAGCAATGTATAGTTTGAAAATGACAGTGTGTTTTTTTCACAGAAATAGGAACAAGACAAAGAACAGACAGTAATCCTGAGCCAAAAGAACAAAGCTGGAATTATCAGATTACCTGACTTAAAGTTATATGACAATATAACGTTAACCAAATCTGATGTGACTTGCATACATACACATACACAGCAATGTAACATCTACAAACCAGAAATCCATGTATTGAAACTAAACTTGGCTTATCAGAGAGCTCCAACAGATCAGGCTCCATAGGCTTACCTGCTGCCAGCACAAATCTATTTATAGGTGTTAGTAATCCCGCCCCTACAGGGCCACCACCACTGTGCATGAACAATGGTAACCTTACCCTTTGTGTGTTGTTACTGATGCAAATGAGCACCAGCAACTCCACCCTTGCCATTCTTCCCCAAGTGCAAATGTGCAGATGGGTGGCAACCAACTAGCCTCCTCCAGGGCTTTGTATCTGTTGCAGCCACTGGCATGAGTTCTAACATGAACAATGCTAGACCCTCCTCTTCCAGTGCCCCTCCCCATCTGACACATGTGCACACTTCCATGCTGTTGAAACTGTTGGCATAAGCAAGTGAGCATGGATTCCACTGCCACCAGCCCAATGATATACTATGGCTGCCACCCTTCTATTTGAATACTGTGGGCATTATAACAGGAATACATCAGCCCCTCCAGTTCAGTAGGTTTCTAACCTTGAGCGACCAGAGAACAGACTAGTTTCTTGACCCTGCTTTCCCAGAGGTAGAACATGCAGCCCAGGAATCCTGAGGTCAGCCTTGTTCCCCTAAAATCATCCAGAAATAAAGCCATTCAGCTGAACCAACTTCACCCCTCAAACCCCAAGGGCATTGAAGTTGAAAGAAAAATGTCATACAAAGCACAGCATCTTCAAATATTGAAAGAATATTAGCCCACATACATAAGAAGAAAGTACTTCCAGAACTCTGGCAGTTGTAAAATCCAGAGTTCCAAACTCTGGCTTCCAAAGGGCCACACTAGCTCTCTGGCAGATGTTCTTAACCAGGCTGAGATGGGTTAAATGACAGGGTTAAGAATATGGGTATGAATGAAGACTATTGAGATTCAGAAGAAAGGTGAAACTGAATCTAAAGAATCTAAGGAAAATAATAGAACAATACAGATGTTAGAAACTGAAATGCCCATTTCAACAAAGAGGCAAATTGACCTTGTAGAGCTGAAAAGCACACTACATAATTATGTAATATAATTGGGAGTATCGGCAGAGTAGATGAAGCTGAGGAGAGTCTCAGAGCTCCAAGATTGTTTAGTTGAATTAGTTGTCAAATATTTTAAAAAGAATTTAAAAACTGAACAAAATCTCTGTGCAATACGGCATTTAAACCTATGAGTCACTGACATTCCCAAAAAAAAGGCAGAGAAAACAAGCAACTTTTTAGTTTATTGTCTGTGAATTTTTCTGCAACCTTGCTAGACATACCAAAATTTAAATTCAGGAAATTCTGACAGCCCTGTAAAATACTGTCTCTCAGGCAGCTATCAGATTGAAATGAAAGAAAATGTCCAAATCAACTATAGAGAAGGGCTGGGTAAACTACAAAGGGAAGCCCATCAGGCTGACAGCATACCTTTCAGTAGGTTCCCTGTATGCCAGAAGATATGGATACCTATATTCAGTGTTTTTAATAAGAAGTAATTCCAACCAGTAATTTCATATTCAGCCAAATTAAGCTTTATAGGTGAAAGGGAAATAAGATCTTTTACAGGCAAGCAAGTGCCAAGGCATTTCATTACCACCAGACCTGCCTTACCAGACATCCTTAAGTGAGTGCTCAATATGGAAAGGAATGACCATTACTGGCCACCAAAAAACACATTTAAGTACACAGACCACTGACACTATAAACCAAATGCACAATTAACTCAACAGAATAATCAGCAACCAGCTAATAGTAATACAGAATTAAATATGCACATAACAGTGTTAAGCTTGAACTTAAGTAGGTTACTGTCCTAATAAATTGTGAAGAGAGGCAAGTTGGATAAAGAAGACCCAACTCTATACACTGTCTTCCTGAAACCAATTTCAGAAGTAATGGCACCCATTTATTCAAGGTAAAGAGATGGAGAAAATTCTACCAAGCAAACAGAAAAAAGGAAGAGAGACAGATTGCTATTCTAATTTCATAGAAAATAGACTTTAAAACAGCAATTATCAATAATAACAAAGGTATTTTATAATCATAAAGGCTTCAACTCAACAAGAGCTAACTATTCAAAATATATATGCACTGAACACAGGATTATGCGCATTTGTAAAAGAAGTTCCTACAGACCTATGAAGAAACGTAGATAAGCAGACAAATGCGAAACTTGACCACCCCATTGACTCTATTAATCAGGTCACTGAGCCTGAAGTCTAACTTATTTTGGTTCTGTACTTGACACTTGACCAAATGGACCTATCAGACATCCGTATTAATCTCCACCCAAAACCACAGAGTGTACATTCTTCTCATCTGCACATGGCACATACTCTACAGTCGACCACACAGTGGATCATAAAACAGTCCTCACCAAATTCAAATAGCAAAATCATACTAAACAGATCTTTGGACCAGAACACAATAAAAACAGAAATCAACACACAAAAAAAAGATTACCTAAAACTATACAATTACATGGAAATTAAACAACTTGATCCTTAATTATATTGGTATAAATAATGAAAAGGCAGAAATTAACAAGTTCAGTATCTCAATTTAACATGCTAGCATCACAACCAGAGGAACTAAAAAACAAACTAATTCCAAAGCTAGCAGCAGGTAAGAAATAACTAAGATAACCAATTTTTAAATTGATTCAGTAATAAAAACTATCAACAAGATAAAGCCCTGGACCCGATGGATTTATGGCTGAATGCAACCAGGTATGTAAAGAAAAGCTAGTGAAATTCCTACTCAAGCTATGCCAAAATTTCAAGGAGGAAGGACTCCTCCCTTAACTATTTTATGAAGCCAGCATTATCCTGATACCCAAACTTGGCAAAGACACAACACAAACAGAAAACTTCAGGCCAGTATCCCTGACGAACTTAAAAGGAAAAATTCTCAAGAAAATACCAGCAGACCTAATCCAGTTGCATATCAGAAAGCAAATCCCCTGGGATTAAGGAGGCTATATTTCTGTGATGCAAGGTTAGTCCAACATATAAAACTTGGGGAAAAAATGTGATTCATTACATAAGCAGAGCTAAAACCAAAACCACAGGATGATCTCTATAGATGCAGAAAAGTCTAATACAATTTACTTAACATTACTTCATGTTATAAGCCCTCAACAAACTTGGCATTAAAAAACATCTCAAAATAATGACCCATCTGTTACAAACTCACAGCCAACCTCTTAATCAACTGGCCGAAGTTGGAAGCATTCTTTTTATGATCAGAGCAAGACAAGGATGCCCACTTTCACCACACCTATTCAACATACTACTGGAAGTTCTACCTAGAGCAATCAGTGAATAGAAAGAAAAGGCATCCAAATAGGAAGAGAAGTAAAACAATCTGCAGACAACATGATTTTATACATAGAAAACCTCAAAGCCCCAAAGCTCCTAGCTTAGATACAAAACTTCCAAAAAGTTTCAGTATAAAAAATCAGTCTGTAGCTTAGCATTTCTATACAGCCCCAACATCAAAGGTCAGAGTTGAATAAAGAATGCAAAGCCATTCACAATAGCCACAAAAAGCATAAATTACCCAGGAATCCATTTAACCAGGAAGGTGAAATATCAGTATAATAAGAATTACAAAACACTACTGAAGGAAATCATAGCTGACACAAATAGGAAGAAATGACATTGTTAAAATGGCCATAATCCCCAAAGCAATCTATACATTAATTGCTATTCAAACTACCAATGACAATCTTTGCAGAATTAACAAAACCTTTAAAAATTCTTATGGAATGGAAAAGCCCAAATAGCCAAGGCAATTTCTAGGCAAACCTGGATGCATAACATTACCTGAATTGAAAGTATTCTACAAGATTACAGTAAGCATAACAGCATGATACTGGTACGAAAATAGACATGGAGGCCTGTGGAGCAGAATATAGAACATAAAATTGTACACCAACAGTCATCTGCTTCTCAACAAAGTTGACAAGAGATGCAGACAGGACTTCCTGTTCAATACATGCTGCTGGTATAACTGACTATCTATATATTCAATGTTGGTACTGGACCCCTTCCTTTCATTACATATAATAACTGTATAGAGTAAGGACTTAAACCTAAAATATAATACCATAAAAATGCTAAGCTATAATTTAGGAAATACCATGCTGAACATAGGTTTTGAAAAAATTTTGTGATGAAGATTCCAAATGTAATGGCAGCAGAAACAAAAATTGGCAAATTGAACCTAATTAAACTACAGAGATTCTGCACAGCCAGAGAGTCTATCAATGGTGAACACAAAATGGGAAAAAATATCTGCAAATTATGCATCTGAGAAAGTTCTAATATCCAGAATCTATAAGCTACTTAATAGGGGAAAATAACCACATTGAAAAGATGAAAAAGTACATAGACATTTTTTCAAAGGAAGACATACATGCATCCAGGTTTCATATGTCAAAATGCTCAACATCACTAATCCATAGGGAAATGATAATTAAAACCACAGTGCAATTCTGTCTTACACCACCCAGAATGACTATTACTAAAAAGTCAAAAATAGTATGTTTTCAAGTTTATAGATAAAAGGGAATGCTTAAAGATTGCTTGTTGAATTATAAATTATGTCATCCATTGTGGATAGCAGCTTGGTCATTTTGCAAAAAATATCAAACAGAAGTACCATTTGATGCTGGATTCCCATTACTGGTTTTATACCAAAAGGAGTATAGATTTTATTACCATAAAGACACATGAATGTGCATGTCCATTGGGGCACTCTTGATAATAGTGAAAATATGAAGTGAAGCTTAATACCCACTAATGGTTGACTGTATGAGGAAAACATACATATACACCATGGTACACTACAACATCATAAAAAAGAATGAGATCATGTCCTTGGATGTTGCTGTTGGCCATGATCCTAAACAAACTAACCCAGGAGTAGAAAACCAAATAATACATATTATCTTAAATAAATGAGAGTATATGGGCACAAAGGGAAACAACAGATACTGGGGTTAACTTGAAGGTGGAGAGTGAAAGGATGGATTAGATTTGAAAAAGAACCTATTGGGGATTATGCTTTTTATCTGGGTGATGAAATAATCTCTACACCAAACCCCATGACATACAATTTAGCTATATAGCAATCCGGGATGTGTACCCTGAACCTGAAATGAGAGCTTAAAGAAAAGAAATGGTTTGCTGCACCCATCAACCTGGCAGCTACATGAGATATTTCTCCTAATGCTATCCCTCCCCTAGCCCCCTACCCCTAGACAGGTCCTGGTGTGTGATGTTCCTCTTCCTGTGTCCGTGTGTTCTTATTGTTCAACTTCCACTTATGAGTGAGAACATGCAGCATTTGGTTTTCTGTTCTTGTGTTAGTTTACTGAGAATGATGGTTTCCAGTTTCATCCATGTCCCTGAAAAGGACATGAACTCATCTCTCTTTATGGCTGCATAGTATTCCATGGTGTATATGTGCCACATTTTCTTTATCCAGTCTATCATTGATGGGCATTTGGGTGGGTTCCAAGTCTTTGCTATTGTGAACAGTGCTGTAATAAATATACATGTTCATGTGTCTTTATAGTAGAATGATTTATAATCCTTTGGGTATATACCCAGTAATGAGATTTCAGGGTCAAGTGATATTTCTCGTTCTAGATCCTTGAGGAATTGCCACACTGTCTTCCACAATGGTTGAACTAATCTCCACTCCCACCAACAGTGTAAAAGTGTTCCTATCTCTCCACATCCTCTCCAGCATCTGTTGTTTCCTGACTTTAATAATCACCATTCTAACTGGCATTAGATGGTATCTCATTGTGGTTTTGATTTGCATTTCTGTAATGACCAGTGATGATTAGCTTTTTTTCATATGTTTGTTGGCTGCATAAATGTCTTCTTTTGAGAAGTGTCTGTTCATACTCTTCACCCGCTTTTTGATGGAGTTGTTTGTTTTTTCCTTGTAAATTTGTTTAAGTTCTCTGTAGATTCTGGCTATTAGACCTTTGTCAGATGGATAGACTGAAAAAATTTTCTCTCATTCTATATGTTGCCTGTTCACTCTGATGATAGTTTCTTTTGCTGTGCATAAGCTCTTTAGTTTCATTAGGGCCCATTTGTCAATTTTGGCTTTTGTTGTCATTGCTTTTTGTGTTTTAGTCATGAAGTCTTTGCCTATGCTCATGTCTGTGTCCTGAATTGTATTGCCTAGGTTTTCTTCTAGGGTTTTTATGGTTATAGGTCTTACGTTAAGTCTTTAATCCATCTTGAGTTAACTTTTGTATAAGGTGCAAGGAAGGGGTCCAGTTTCAGTTTTCTGCATATGGCTATCCAGTTTTCTCAACATCATTCATTAAATAGGGAATCCTTTCCTTATTGCTTGTTTTTGTCACGTTTGTCAAAGATCAGATGGTTGTAGATGTGTAGTGTTATTTTTGATGCCTCTGTTCTATTCCATTTGGCCTATGTATCTGTTTTAGTGCCAGTACAATGCTGTTTTGGTTACTGTAGCCTTGTAGTATAGTTTGATGTCAGGTAGCATCATCTCTCCAGCTTTGTTCTTTTTGTTTAGGATTGTCTTGGCTAGACGGGCTCTTTTTTGGCTCCATATGAAATTTAAAGTAGTTTTTTTCTAATTCTGTGAAGAAACTCAATGGTAGTTTGATGGGGATAGCATTGAATTTATAAATTACTTTGGGTAGTATGGCCATTTTTATGATATTGATTCTTCCTCTCCATGAGCATAGAATATTTTTCCATTTGTTTGTGTCCACTGTTATTTCCTTGAGCAGTGGTTTGTAGCTCACCTTGAAGAGGTCCTTCATATCCCTTTTAAGTTGTATTTCTAGGTACTTTATTCTCTTTGTAGCAGTTGTGAATGGAAGTTCACTCATGATTTGGCTCTCTATTATCAGTATATAGGAATGCTAGTGATTTTCTCACACTGATTTTGTATCCTGAGAATTTAGTAAAGTTGCTTATCAGCTTAAGGAGATTTTGGGCTGAGATGATGGAATTTTTAAAATATACAATCATGTCATCTGCAAACAGAGAAATTTGACTTCTTCTCTTCCTATTTGAATACGCTTTATTTTTTTCTCTTGCCTGATTGCCCTGGCCAGAACCTCCAATACTATGTTGAATAGGAGTGCTGAGAGAGGGCATCCTTGTCTTGTGCTGGTTTTCAAAGGGAATACTTCCAGCTTTTGCCCATTCACTATGATATTGGTTGTGAATTTGTATTAAATGGCTCTTAATATTTTGGGATACGTTCGATCAATACGTAGTTTATTGAGAGTTTTTAGCATGAAGGGGTGTTGAATTTTATTGAAGGCCTTTTCTGCATCTGTTGAGATAACCATGTGATATTGGTCATTGGTTCTGTTTATGTGATGTATTACATTTATTGATTTGTGTACATTGTGTCCCATATATACACATATATACAACTATCATGTACCCATAGTATTTAAACCTATATGATCTTTATAAACAAGTGAACTAGTTAGTGGTAGATAAATCCAGAATAAAAACAAGTATAAAATTCATATATAACAAGTCTACAGCTAATATGATGAAGAACAATTGAAATTCCTTCCTCTAATATCTGGAACAAGATAGGATACCCACTTTTATTCCATATAACATTCTATCCCGAGCTATTAAACAAGTGAAATAATG